TGTAAAGAAATTTTTTTATCCGATAATTTGTAAACGTCTATGAAATCATTTTGAGACACTGTTTATGCCATGTTTTAAACCAGGAGTGGCCAACCCAAATGATCTTGCGGCCACTTTGGAAATGTATCCTAACTCCACGGGCAGCATATAAAATTATGTATCCTCATATTAGATTTATTGCCACTATCGACATTTTTTTGTAGTGAAAAATGTAAACATAATGAGTTATTATTGTTGTGTTTACTTTTATTCTTACATTTAAACGTAGATAATATATTAATAATGCTACTAAACGCACATTGGAAAGAAATATATAACACTAAAAGGAAATATATAAATATAAACGAAATAAAAATAATGAAATCATTAAAAAATATTTATTTTACTAGTGCGATATGTGTTTTCCACTCTGTCACGTAGCTTTTGCAAATCTATATTGGTGTTGCAGGTTAGAGTCCGTTATATTTCAGTGTGTTTTGTGTTTGCTCAATTTCATTTCCGAAAAAACGATCCGCAGGTGTAAGTTGAACTAAAAGCGCTCACAACTTTTTGCGCCAGATTTCACAAATCGGAAAATTTCTCGTGAAGTAAGTGTTATAAAAACCTATTTTTCATTCTGAAGTTTCAAAAATGTGTTTTAATTCAATATCGTATTGTAAGACAACCAGTTCCATTTGGGGATATTCTGAGGCCAATTTGATTTCAACATGAAAGGGAGATGAATATATTTCAAATTATGAACATATTTTGTTGTATTTGTCTAACTCTAATTTCGACAGTTAATTTTCGAATATATGGCTATGTATTTTTTTAATACATTGGTTTTCACTATTTTGGCCATTATAAAATAAATATATTTTGTGAAAGTGTGATGAATCTTACGGGCCGGAAAAATGTTAAAGGCAGGCCGCGGGTTGGCTACACCTGTTCTAGAACAATCATTTTTGATCTGAAAGAAATTGTTCATTTTAAAATCGAAACATACTAATAGACAACACTTACTTTTTTATTTCCACCAAAGTCTAAGTGTTTGCCAGCTGCATTAGAAAAAAAAATATATAATTTGTGAACGTATATGAGATAATTTTCAGACACTATTTATGCCATCTTCTAGAACAATCGCGGCCCGATGGCCCATCGACTATCTCTCTGGCCTGTGGTACCACGGGTTAGTTGCTCGGAATCCACGATAAACTGTAAGTCACGGTCTAATTAGCCCAAAGTATGCAGAAAATGACTGTAGACCGGAAAACCAATCTAGAATAACTTTTGTTCTCGTCGAAATTTTTCATTTTAAAATCAATTTTAGTTTAAGTTAAGTTTAGTTAAGTTGTTAAATATGTTTATATGGAAATATACGAAAGCAAATCATACTATTATCATTGCATGAAATGAAAAAAATGATGGGTTTGATTTTATTCACTCATTGAAAAAACTGAGTTCAACCGTTAGTTCTAGTTGGAAGTCATTAAAGTCCCATCAATAGCATCAACATGCGGTTGGCAACATCCCATGAGATGAGAAATCTTAAAAACGAGATTGCATAACTCACTGTAACACCGCAGCCGAGTGCATTCCGGAAGTACCACCGAAACCGAAATTTCTCTTGGGAAAAAGGCCAAGAGCTGACATTTGCGCGGTGGTAAATAAAGCCGTGTCACAAGCCAAAGCCAAGAATCACGCGTCGTGCGCTTTTGAATTGCGTGCGTCATCGAACTGGGAGTCCATAAACTCCGAGGATGCCCGTGACACTTTAACCGTGAGCGATGGGCAACGGAAACGTCGAGCCTCTGACATATTTGCCTACAGAGCGTCGCGTAATCGGTTTGCATGTCCCGAATGGGGCAAACAAATTGCGATCCGAGGTGCCTTTTTATGCCTAATTGCATTCATCCTCGTTGGAGATGCTGATTTATCAAGATGGACGGATTTCAAGAGCTGCAGCACCAGTGACAGGAAATGAATCTCTAGACGGAACACTACGTGGACGTAACGACAGGCTGCTGATTTGGCGATATCCGATACAGAGCTTTCCTCTCTATAAGAATTCATTGCCGAAGGGTATTGAACTCTGCTTGACGAATATTAGGATTGATTTGGCTTGCTGTATCGTTCGAACGATCCATTCTTTCACACTTTTCAGGATCTGTAATCCAATTTTATTGGAGTGGATGTTGATGTCGTAACACTCACGTCTGAAAAAAAAAAATGCAGTTTTTATGTAATACGAAGTGTGAGAATTGTTCACAGCTTTTACCAAAAAATAAATAATCAAATTTATGTATTTTATTTTTAAAAAAACGGAGATATGGAAATATTTTTTGATGGCGTTGCATTTTTCTCTCTCACGAGAAGAGTTTCGGCATTTCATTCCCAGGAGAGAGGAATGTATGTTATTTGGAACATATATAATAATCCCATCACTCAAGTTTGACAGCAGACAAGCAGTATTGTGGATAGTTATATTACATGCAATTAGAGTTTTGTACTGATGGGAACAACCTGTCACTCAAATCCGATAGCAGATATTCGTAAATAGCATGTAAAAACTATATAATATAGCTTTCACTCAAAATTGACAGCAGACGAACAGTATTGTGGGTAGTGATATTAGATGCAATGATTGTTTTGTTCTAACGAGAAGAACCTGTCACTAAATTAGCGATTAACCCAAATTAACGAATGTCTGTGCGATCTTCACAGGTCGAAACATCCAGAGATTGAATATGAACTGTTTACATTCATTCTCGTTGGAGATGTTGATTTATCAAGATGGACGGACTTCAAAAGCTGGAGCACCAGTGACAGGAAATGAATCTCTAGGCGAAAGGCTACTGATTTGGCGATATCCGATTCAGAGCTTTCCGAATGCATTGCCGAAGGATATTGAACTCTGTTTGACGAATATTAGGATTGATTTGGCTTGTTGGAGATTCCAATGATCAATGCTTTCACACTTTTGGATCCGAACTCAATTGGAGAGGATTTTGATGTCTTAATATTTAGGTTCTGAAGTTTTTAGTGTAATACAAAGCGTGAGAATTGTTCACAGCTTTTATATATATAAAAAAAATCAAATTTATGTGCTTTATTTAAAAAAACAAAAAAAAAAACCAGAAATATATTTTGATGGCGATGTTTTAATTCACATTGATTCTACAATCATTAAATTATTTCTCAACTGTAGGTTACACTCAGTACTGAATGATTTGTCGCTATACGGACATCTTGTGCCTACGAGGGACTAAACAGACCGGGACCTACAGATTAAAGTGGATTCCGAACCACCAAAAGCACCCATGCCACCGACAGGATTTGAATCTGAAGTTTTTGATACCAAAGGCCAGAGCGCTAGCCACTTGTTCAATACTGTTTGATCCAAGGTAATACTAGAAAGACAAGTATGCAGTCGATTCAGCATTACCTTCCAAGATGTACTACCACCATATTCGCACGCAAGGAGGTGTCTGGTGGACTTGAGTCCCCTAAACCCATAAGGTGGTCTGATGGCTAATTGGCTAGCGCTCTGGCCTTTGGTACCCCCAAACTTCAAGCTCGAATTCTAGCATGGCATGGATGTTTGTCCGTGGTTCGGAATCCACATTAAACTGTAGGTACCTGTCTGTTTAGCCCTCGTGTGCACAAAATGACCGTAGGGCGACAAACCAAACCAAACCTAAGCCCATAAGTGAAATACTTGCTTGTCTTTTCAAAGATTTGGGTATTACTTGTTTAGGATAAATTGTTTTTGATGAATATTTAGTATTTCAATGAATCAGTTTTTCTCTTATCAGTATAATTTTTTTATTGGGCCTAGATTTGTTGAATGAGCTCATATTTTCCTGGTTTAGTTTAATTAAATATTCATCATAAACGATGTAAAGAAGATTAAAATTAATAAATAAAAATTAATATTTTATTTTTTCTGCAATACTTCTTAGTTTTAATGTTTACTTTTATGTAATATGGAATGAAATTTTGGAAAAAAATAATAAATATTTAAATTTATAAATGGAATGGAATTTTGATTTCAGATACTTTTTTCTGTTATTAAAAGTGTAATATGACCCATTGAGATTTCATATTTACTTTTTATTTTTGCCTAGAATAAAAGACAAAATCCTGGGTGGGTGCTCTGTTGCCACCAGACATTCTCAGAAATAACATATGGTGTGTACAGATAGCTCCTCCTCTTCATTTCATTTCATTTTTTTTTGCCTATTAATTTATCGTATCTTATCTCCAGAGTAAACCAGAGACATTTATTTTTCGGTCCGACTTTTCGAGTTTGAAACCCAACACACTGTTATTTAACCGCTTCCGAATCTATTTCGTAACTAAAGCATGCCACATAATTTTGATCGATTTATTGCTTAAGAAATCCAACGTCAATGCATAAATTTTGTAGCACCAGATTTAATAACTAGGTTAAACGTTTCCTTCATAAATTTCTCAATAAATTCATTGAAGAATAACGAATTTTATATAAAATATAACTTTCTATAAATATGCTATAATCAGTCTAATAATAGAATATTTTTAAATAAATTTACCAATAAAAAAATACCACCAAATATCCTGACAAATTAAGTCTAATGTATATGTACTAAAAATATGCAGAATTTGTGTGTTGTTTTTAGCCAGTTGATCTATCTTTAAAAAATATAAGCTGGTCTTATGGCTAATTGGCTGGCGCTCTAGGTTTGGTAATATTATTTTGGTATTATGGTTGTTGTTGTTTCTTATCTCACTTGGCTGGCCAAGCCCACGAGCCCGTACTCATGATTGAAGGGGAAGGAAGCAGCTTCTGTTGTGATGGAGCATCCATAGGTGGAAGTCTGACTTTGGCTCCGTGACGCTCTTACAGTCATAGCAGACCAGGACCTACAGCTTAAAGTGGATTCCAACCACTACAAACATCCATGGCACCGCCGGGATGTGAACCCGAAACCTGTGGCACCGAGCGCCAGAGCCAATTCAGGTCCCAAATTTTGAATGCCAACGGCACTCGGTGTTCCCCTTAGGAGGTCACCCCACTCAAGTACTGACCGCGCCCAATGATGCTTGACATCGGTGATCTAACGAGAACCGGTATATTCAGCATGGTATGGCCGTTGGCGGTATTATTGGTACTATTCGCTTTAGGTACTTTTGATAGGCTTAAGGTTCAAATCTTGGCGGTAGCATGGATGTTTGTGAGTGATTCGGAATCCACGTTAAACTGCAGGTCCCGGTCTAATTAGTCTAAAGTGTGCACAAAGTGACCGTAGAGAGGCAAACCAAACCTTAAAACATATAATGTAAACCTTTCACACATGTTCTTTCAATAATTACGTACAGCTGCAGTTTTTCATCGAAAATCTGCTTACTGCAATCTGATTTATAAATAATGTATACTTTATTTAATAAAAATAATTTTAAAAAATATAATGACCCCCTCGTCAATAGGAATATCCTGAACAGATTCGTGTTCCAAGTCTGGTAAAAAAAAACATGAAAAAAAAAAAGACATTTTTAAATCAAAATAACAAAAAATCACACAAGATACATGAAGGAAATGAATAAATTACTAAGCAAAATCTACTGTCTGATTTTGGCATGACAAAAATAGGATAGATAACTACGTGACTGAATTGTTGAAAGCCATAATGATTTTAACCAGTTTACCCATTTGTAATAAATTATAAAAAAAATTGCTTATTGAATTGATGTCTCTAAGCATATGTGTCAATATTTCCAATCAATAATTCAGAAAGCAGTCAGAAGAATAACCTCAATGTAATTTTTATTATAATTTTTTTTTTTTTTTTTTTGTCCCTTAATGATAAATTTCACCAAATTTCTTAGCTGAATACGAACACCATTTTTTAAAATTAAATCAAAGAAAAAAAATATTTTGCTTCCATTATTATCTTCCATAATTAAACAATATTGTGTGTTTTCTACTGGTGGTTTCCTATTTGAACTAGATCTAATTTGATAAATTAATATAAATTTATTGATGATGGCTAGAGCTAGTTTGTGTCTCATCTTAATTTAGGACATTAAAAATGCTAAACAAATGTGTTACCTTACCTCACCAAACTGGCTTCGGTTTCTCATGCTTTTCGCCCTATTCTGTCCTTGTTTTTAAAAGAAAAAAAGCTAATTCCCCAAAGCTAATTCCTCTTTTCTTTTCAAGAAGAAAAAGCTAATTCCTCCCAAAAAGTTAATTCTTTTCAATTGATGGAAATATTTTTCAACGGTGTTCTCTATCAAAAGTTGTGCAACTTACGGGTTATTTTTTTTCTTTCTTGCATAAAGATTTCTTAAAAGACATACTGCTCTCGAAATATACCCTGAAGTTATTCTGAAAGTAGTGAAAAATAAAAAAGTGAATTCCCACAAATAATCTAAACTAACTTTATTATCAGGTAATTTTTTATTTTCTGTGCTTTATCAAGTAGAAATGTATTTTTAAAAATAAATGGCGGATGAACTTTACTAATTTAAAAAAAAGCACTAATACAGGGAATAAAATCCTTAAATCTGATATATATTCGTATTACATTATTTTATGCTTTGTATAAGACTCCCATGATATGAAGATCAGAAAATATAGCAACATACTGTAATGATAAAATACAGTCTCGATCTGTCTTCGATCAAGTATATCTTCTTCAAATCTGGTGTCTTAATGAAAATCTTGCGTTCTTAAAAAATGTTGTGAAAAAAATTAATTGAGAGTAGGAGTTATTATATAAGCATATTAGTTTCCACGGGCCCCACGATAAACTTTTAGTTAAAACAAGTAATATAAAAAAAATATTTTTTAAAGTCAATTCCTATGTTTTTCATTATATTGCAGAAAGTCCTTTATAAATAATTTTCATTCATTTTTTAAAATTTTTTCTGGCTCTATCTATTAGTAGATATATGCAACTTAAATCTAAATATAGGGAGAGTGTGAGCTAATAGAAGGAATTGAATAAATACTCATTTGCCGCGTAATTTTAAAGTGCATGTTTTAAAAAATACATTGACATACATGTTGCTAAAGCTAATTTGTCGATATTAAGTCATAAGCAACAGATCTCGCACTGTTCTTAATATTTTAAATTAATTCCTTATCCTGACGATTTTCTCCTGCTCTGACTGATTTATTACCTACAACTGCATAGATGAAAAAAGTTCGCTTTTCTCCTAAGCTATTTTTTCTTCTAATTTGATTTATTTTTTGATTACATCCAACTGATTTCATCAACATCTAAACTTTTGAAATTTTTGTTATTTTTCATTTTATAATTTTATTGAATAAATAATTCTTTTTAAAAGAAAGGGCATTTAATTGTGTTTTTTATTAACTCAAAGGGCATGAGACCACCGCTATGTTTCAACATTTAACAATGAAGGAGCTAGAGGACGCTACTCGGCCAAGTATCTCCATATAAATCTTCAATAAGATATCAAGTCATGTGCTCTTTATTTCATTTTGATTATTGTTTTAGTTTGCGCAAAACAGTGTCTAAGGATCAGTTGTGGTTTTGAAATTTAATTTTACTTTCGCTTAACATTGTGTGTTGAAGTTCCGCTGATTAAATAAGTGCAAAATACGTTCTTATGTGATAAATTGAAATTTTCAAATGATTTCAGCTTTTATTTTTAATTTTAGAATTTGAATTACTTAAATTGTTAGAACGAACAGAAGAAAAAAATCCTAAAACAATGAGAAATTGGATTTGAAATGGACTTTTGAAATAAATTATACCATATGTAACTATGTGAGATAAAATTAGCATCAAAGAATTCTCCGAGATTGTGCAAAGATTTGGTCTTTCCATTAATTGTAAGACAAAAGGGAAGTAAAAGATTTGGTCTTTTTCCATGCGGGGAAGAAAAAGACGCCATCCCGCGAGGCCTTTCTTCCTTATCTGGGGCACCCTCCACATCTCGCTTACGTTTCAGAAAATATTAAGGGCCCAGCGTCAGTTTGGCCCCGGCTCTGTTGTGCGCCCTTATCACCCAACAGAATCGGGCCGGCGTCGTGTCACCCGTAACACGGCGCACGTATTTGCTGATAGACAAGAACGGGCCCAATTTCGCCACACGGAAGATTTGTACCGACTCTGCAAGATCCAGGGTCCTTTGTGCCGGGCACGCGCCCCGCCCCTCGAACTGGCCCTCGAGTCACGTGCCGGGGGTAGAGGGCGTTTCCCCTTCCTTTCCACCCCTTTTGCGAAATTTGTTCTCTCCATTTGGAAATGCGATAAGACGGAAGGAAGAAGAGCTGGTTGGATCTGATTTCAATGGGGATGGAAGATAATTTTTTACGTGTTTGAGAGGTCGGGTTAGAGAATGAATGTGGGTATCTGAGAATCGAGAACCCTTTTTTTTTCATTATTATTATTATTATTTGTATTTGTTTTGTTTAATTTGGTGGAACTGATAGTGGAAAATAGGTGGATGGAGAAAATCCGTTTCATGTGGAATACATTTCCGTATCTTTTGGAATCTCGGTAAAAGAGTCCTCTTGGTCTAAAGAAAGAGCAACCAAATTTCGCTAATTTTAAGCTTTGGCATGGTAATTTTATGAAATTTTCTACAACAGAATCGACAGCGGCTGGAAGATTTGCTCGTATAGCCCATTTCCCATGCTGTATATATTAATGAATAATACAGCTTAATGCCCTTATGAATTGTATTGTTTCATTGTATTGCTTCAGTGTGCTTTATTTTGCTTTTGGTAGCTTTTTTCATCCATACAAAAATGCCATATCCATCCATACAAGTTTTATCCATACTTAAATGAATGTTCATTGCACGTATTTTGATTTTTATTGTTGCTAGAATGACGAAATACCATACTCAGATGGCTATTATGTCGCCTACAACTATCTGGCTATACTTTTAGGTTTCTACATAGGTACTGTAACGTCTCGTATATATATATATATAATATATATAAATATATATATATATATATATATATATATATATATAATATATATATATATATATATACAGAACTCTATTTAAAAAAATGAAAATTAAAGATAATTTGATCTACAAATGCCGGACGCACTCCAAGGACGGAGATTTTCAGAGTTCTCGAGTCTACAACGAATCTAATGCACTGATTTGCGGCAAACCTTAATTATCACACGCCGTGATATACGGAACCACAAGGGGCTTAATTTGTAAACAGGCGGCTATTCAGTCTCTTCAGAGAAGAAAAAAGAAAAAGAACATTCTTGGCTGACTCGTCGCAGAATTCTCTCCCCTTCTTCACCAAAAATCTCCTTTTTAAGACAATACATCAAGAGGAGAGGTGTTCAGCTTTTCTGACTTCTCATTGGAGTAGGCATTTCTTAACTCGTGGTCTATCACCCATCACGATGGAACAACTCATGGTATAGCTGATATTCAATCTATAACTGCAAACGAACTGTGAAGGTCGTACAGGCATTCGCTAATTTTCTAAGTATCATTATATACGATACCGACTATCTGCTATCAGATGTGAGTGACAGGTTGTTCTCATTAGTACAAAACACTCATTGCAAGTAATATAACTGCGCACAATACAGTTTGTCTGCTGTCAAAGTTGAGTGACGGGTTGTTATATGTAATAACAACCCGTATGTTATTGAACAAATATTTATCCAATAGCATACATTCTTCTCTCCTGGGAATGAAACGCCAAAACTCTTTTCGTGAGAAAAAAAAAAAAAATGCTGCAATAGTTTATCAAGCCTTTAGGATTATAAAAGAAACTATGAAACAAATTCAATGCTACCTAGGTTCATCCACAGAGGAATTTCTAGGGCCCACATACACTTTGTGCTTGACAGTAGTGTATGGGGCCACTCATCCACACATACTTTGTGCTTGCTCTTTTGCATCTTATAGAATCTGGAAAGAATACCCTCAAAGAATTCTTATCTGTCTGTCCTCTTTTTTTAGCCCAATGGAAGGAGACTTAATGGTTCGTCGTGTCCATACCAGCCATAGACACTGAAATTTTTGATTGATCAATGTATCATCCACTATTTTTAGTTACTTTTGAAGAATTTATAGAGAAAAGCAGATCAATATATAGACTATTAACTATTAAATAAAAGATTTTCTTACAACAAC